GCTAAAAAGACCTGAACTAAACATTAGGGACTGAACCAGAGCTCACGCATTTGTCATTGACCAAACAAGACTACGTGGCCATATGAGGTCAAAGTTCTCACCAGCCCCTTTTCTTTACATGCAGCTGTGGGGTGGGGAATGCCCTGGTCGCAGAAGTTTGGATCAGCTTTCTTCCTGGACTCCAATGAGCTCGGGTTTGCTCCAAACCAGAGCTCATCCCTACTGAACACCTGAATGTGCATAAACAGCATTTCTGGCTCAGACCTCAAACCTTCCTGGCCCCAGTGTGAGGTTCTTATGGACTGAAACACTGTGTTCCTCCATGCCTGTCATTAGAGACAGCTTCCCTTCACTGACAGATCCCAGAGATAGAGCCAAGAAAGGAACTGGACTGATAGCCAAACACCGCTCGTCCAGCCCTGCAGTATCCTGATCCTTCTACAATGGGGATCACAATGGACGGCTCTGACTCTGAAATGAAAATACAGCTGTATTTCATATTGTAACTTTGTATCCATTCCAATACACTGTGATAGCTGAGAGCATGAATACCCTCCTACATACTTACTGTATATAGTTGTTGAAAATAACTCATCCAGGTATTTTAACCTCTTGCCGTCCGCCCGTAGTAAAAAAACGGACGGACAGCACGGCAGCATCTGCTCGCTGCATGACGGAATAAATGTCAGTCAAAGTACCGCAGCGCTGAACACTGAAAAATGGCCGGGACAGGAAGGGGGTTTAACACCGCGGATGTCAACTGGTTAAAGAGGAAAGACACTTTTATTACTGTTTTATACAAATCACAGCAAAAATCGAATTACATAAATACTAAAATTACAATCTAAAACAAACAAGAAAAAATTATATGTAAATATAATCAACTCTACACCATCCCCTATGATAATTCAACTCTACACCACCCCCTATGATAACTCAACTCTACACCACTCCCTATGATAATTCAACTCTACACCACCACCCCCTATGATATTTCAACTCTACACCCCTCCCTATGATAATTCAACTCTACACCACCACCCCCTATGATATTTCAACTCTACACCCCTCCCTATGATAATTCAACTCTACACCACCACCCCCTATGATATTTCAACTCTACACCCCTCCCTATGATAATTCAACTCTACACCACCACCCCCTATGATATTTCAACTCTACACCCCTCCCTATGATAATTCAACTCTACACCACCACCCCCTATGATATTTCAACTCTACACCCCTCCCTATGATAATTCAACTCTACACCACCACCCCCTATGATATTTCAACTCTACACCCCTCCCTATGATAATTCAACTCTACACCACCACCCCCTATGATATTTCAACTCTACACCCCTCCCTATGATAATTCAACTCTACACCACCACCCCCTATGATATTTCAACTCTACACCCCTCCCTATGATAATTCAACTCTACACCACCACCCCCTATGATATTTCAACTCTACACCCCTCCCTATGATAATTCAACTCTACACCACCACCCCCTATGATATTTCAACTCTACACCCCTCCCTATGATAATTCAACTCTACACCACCACCCCCTATGATATTTCAACTCTACACCCCTCCCTATGATAATTCAACTCTACACCACCACCCCCTATGATATTTCAACTCTACACCCCTCCCTATGATAATTCAACTCTACACCACCACCCCCTATGATATTTCAACTCTACACCCCTCCCTATGATAATTCAACTCTACACCACCACCCCCTATGATATTTCAACTCTACACCCCTCCCTATGATAATTCAACTCTACACCACCACCCCCTATGATATTTCAACTCTACACCCCTCCCTATGATAATTCAACTCTACACCACCACCCCCTATGATATTTCAACTCTACACCCCTCCCTATGATAATTCAACTCTACACCACCACCCCCTATGATATTTCAACTCTACACCCCTCCCTATGATAATTCAACTCTACACCACCACCCCCTATGATATTTCAACTCTACACCCCTCCCTATGATAATTCAACTCTACACCACCACCCCCTATGATATTTCAACTCTACACCCCTCCCTATGATAATTCAACTCTACACCACCACCCCCTATGATATTTCAACTCTACACCCCTCCCTATGATAATTCAACTCTACACCACCACCCCCTATGATATTTCAACTCTACACCCCTCCCTATGATAATTCAACTCTACACCACCACCCCCTATGATATTTCAACTCTACACCCCTCCCTATGATAATTCAACTCTACACCACCACCCCCTATGATATTTCAACTCTACACCCCTCCCTATGATAATTCAACTCTACACCACCACCCCCTATGATATTTCAACTCTACACCCCTCCCTATGATAATTCAACTCTACACCACCACCCCCTATGATATTTCAACTCTACACCCCTCCCTATGATAATTCAACTCTACACCACCACCCCCTATGATATTTCAACTCTACACCCCTCCCTATGATAATTCAACTCTACACCACCACCCCCTATGATATTTCAACTCTACACCCCTCCCTATGATAATTCAACTCTACACCACCACCCCCTATGATATTTCAACTCTACACCCCTCCCTATGATAATTCAACTCTACACCACCACCCCCTATGATATTTCAACTCTACACCCCTCCCTATGATAATTCAACTCTACACCACCACCCCCTATGATATTTCAACTCTACACCCCTCCCTATGATAATTCAACTCTACACCACCACCCCCTATGATATTTCAACTCTACACCCCTCCCTATGATAATTCAACTCTACACCACCACCCCCTATGATATTTCAACTCTACACCCCTCCCTATGATAATTCAACTCTACACCACCACCCCCTATGATATTTCAACTCTACACCCCTCCCTATGATAATTCAACTCTACACCACCACCCCCTATGATATTTCAACTCTACACCCCTCCCTATGATAATTCAACTCTACACCACCACCCCCTATGATATTTCAACTCTACACCCCTCCCTATGATAATTCAACTCTACACCACCACCCCCTATGATATTTCAACTCTACACCCCTCCCTATGATAATTCAACTCTACACCACCACCCCCTATGATATTTCAACTCTACACCCCTCCCTATGATAATTCAACTCTACACCACCACCCCCTATGATATTTCAACTCTACACCCCTCCCTATGATAATTCAACTCTACACCACCACCCCCTATGATATTTCAACTCTACACCCCTCCCTATGATAATTCAACTCTACACCACCACCCCCTATGATATTTCAACTCTACACCCCCCCTATGATAATTCAACTCTACACCTCCCCCTATGATCACTCAACTCTACACCTCCCCCTATGATCACTCAACTCTACACCACCCCCTATGATCACTCAACTCTACACCACCAACTATGATCATTCAACTCTACACCACCCCTTAATGATCCATCGGATAAATAATCAATGATTCAATAAACTGTAGAAAACCAATTCCGCAATCTATTAGTCTGAGAGTGAATCCTTTGTAACCTGCCTGATGGACGTGTAGCAAACAAGGATTACCCGGGGTGTGTACAATCATTGTATTTGTAAGAAGTAATTCAAACAAATTTCTGTCAAATCAGAAAATAGAGAACCAATCATCTAACTACTCGTTGATTGGGTTCGGTCCAAACCTGAGCTCATCCCTACTCCTGATATTTTCTGCTGCTGAGAGATTAGAAAGGACTCTGTGTAGAAACTTTGGAGTTAGTCCAGTTTTTAGGTGAGCGCCGCTGTTGGTACATTTATAATATAATGGAGGCCGTCATTCATTGTAGAGTCACAGGAAGTTACCAAATCAGAAGTGTCACAATTAAATGACGATCCCTATATTAGAAATCCCAGTAGGGAGCTCTATATTCCATCTTATCATTTATTAGATGATAATCAGTTAACAAAATAGAGTTGGATTACTAAAGCCAAATAGGCTGATCACTATACAAGCAAATTTTCTCACAGCTTAGTGAATGATGTGAAGATTTGCTGACTTCCATCATCCAATCAGGTACAAGCAAAAATACTGCTTTTCTTGATTGGGTATTTTTTGCAAAGTGAATTTTCACCTCATTCACTAAGCAAAGTGTTAATTACAAAGTGAACAGCCAATGCAATATGAGGACATATCTAACCTAACCAATCAATTTGTGTCCAATCAGACAGGCCCTTGTATTGGATAGTTTTTGTTAGAGCGAAAGGAGATTGTACAATCATATTGTAACGTGTGTGGTGAGTATAGCAGGAACTCAGAAGAAATATTTTTAAGGTTTAAATAGGGGAATACTAGAACATCTGTCAGCATTTCTTGTAATCTGTGCTCATGTGGCAGATTATCCTTCACTTCCTGTCTGGTAAAACGTTTGTGCCTAGAAAAGGAAGTGAGGGGAAATCTCTCTAATGTACGGTAGCTCTGGATAACAGTAAAACCTGAAAGAAGTTCTGGGTATAGATGGAGTTTTAGCGATTAATATTAGTATTAGTTATTATATAACGACATCACAGAATGACATCAGCAATTCATTACATTACAGAATGTTCCAGCAAATTAGTGACAACGTTGCAGCTTACAGTCTATTTCCTGATGAAGACGTCTTTAGAACAATGGAAGAACATTATCAGGGTTATTCACAGAAGGGTGAAGAGTTTGGAGGAGGCAGGAGAAGTGAACAATCTAGGACAACATAGCTGAACTGGAAAGTGAGCTGAATTTGGAGAATTCTTCCAAATCAGCTATGTTGTCCTAGATTGTTCACTTCTCCTGACTTCTCCAAACCCTTCACCCTTTTGTGAATAACCCTGCATATGTATAATCATGGAGTGTGTTTTGTGTTTCTTTCTTCAGCAATCAATATCGCTGGAACTGGGAAAGCCTCGCAGAGTTCTGATTATGGGACTTCAACCAATTTTAATGCTACCAAGGCCATTGATGGTGTGACAGATCAAATCATGGATCATGGTTTCTGTAGCCACACATATGATGACTGGGAACCCTGGTGGAGACTGGACCTGATGCAGAAATACAAAGTGAACATGGTTGTGGTCTATGGCAGGACGGACAACGCTTTGTATCGGATGCAGGGTCTTGAGCTCCGATTTGGAGATTCCCCAAACAATCACAACCCAGTGTGAGTACATCAGGGCCAGGACATACTATTACTATACATTTTTCCCTTGGGTGTAGTATTGCCTCTGCTCCATATTTATCCCCAAATTCTATATTCATATAAAATACTCAGAATTCATTGACAGGTGGATGTGACCTGCAGTTGACCTACTTATGACCTGTAGTTGACATCCTTCTGACCTGCAGTTGACCTACTTTTGACTTACAGTTACCCTTCTTCTGACCTGCATTTGACTTCCCTTTGATCTGCATTTGACCTGTTTTTCCATAGACCTGTTTCAGAATACAAAACTCATCTGATGTGAACAAAAGCTGGTCAGCATAGTTCCTAAATGTGATAGCCCTAAGATCCACCTTGAACCCAAAAAAAGAGACAACACTATACGACTGGATTTTACCCACAGGGCAAGACTCTGATAACAAAGGCGTTATTAAATATAAAATTAGACTGGGGTACCCGGGGCCAACCAGACAAAGTGAGAGTGAGAGCCCACCATCAAGCGCCATGCACTGTGGTGAATAGAAATAAGCTTCTGGTCGAACATGAGCTCAACCCTGAATCCAAGCTGTTGGCAATTTGACAAATTGTTTGCCCAGCTAGTACCCCGCCCACCAAACTTTTGTCTGTGTCCTAGCAACCGATGATGCTGTGACACCTGCCCAGTGTCATTGGTTGACTGGTGGCTGAACCACATGGCATGAATGGTTGCTAGGATGCAGTGGAATGATGCTATAGAGCTGCCAGCATCTTAGCAACCAATGATGCTGGTTGCTAGTACACAGGCAGCCCCATAGCATCATTAATTGTTAGGGTCCAGTATGGACTAGTTGCTAGTAACCAATTATGATAGTACACAGACTGCCCTGGCTTTTGTTTGCTTGGATGTTTGCCAAACCTGGATTTCTGGCTGGATTCAGAGAACATCTATGTGAACTGAATCCAGGCCAGTTTGCTTATCAGTAGTGGTAAGTAGTGGCTTTGTCTTACTCTGAGGGGCGTGGTTAAAAAGGTACGGTTGAACAATGATATTAGTAGTAAGTTTCCCCGAAGTCACTCCGCTCATCTCTGTTGTCTAGCCGCATAGCAGTGTATGTTTTCTATGGGCACATTTTGTGAATCTCTACCCAAGTCAGCGGGTTCCATTTTCTGTATCATTGTGTTGGTCTTTTCTTGTCTGTGGCAGGTGCGGTACGATCACCAACTATAAAAATGCCACCACAACTTTCTGCTGTAATGGGATGGAGGGTCGATACATCAGCGCGGTGATCCCGGGGCACAGTGAATACCTGCACCTGTGTGAGGTGGAGGTCTACGGGGAGCCTGCACCTGAGGAGTATGATATCTGCTAGTAAACCTCAGAAGTACAGCGTTGAAGGAATACTTAAAGTTAATTATTAAATGTCATGTCTATAGGGAACATATCCTCAAGACCTCCAAAACTGTGTCATGTCTATGTTTTCCTAGCTGTCTGGAGAAGGACAATTGCCACTGCACACCTTGTAGTTGTAAAATCATATATCTAAAAATAAATAAAACTATGTTACTCAGAACAATGGAAACTGCTGTGTTCATGTCTAAGGGGTCTATTTATAAACAATTCACAGAGCTATTCACCCTGCAAATCCCTGTGAGCATTTATTCTGTGCCAATAGAGATAAAAGGGACCATTTTTAGTATATTTACTTTTCAGCATGAGTATAATGTAATACAATACCACATGATGGTCACTAAATGGAGATGATGAGCATATGAAATAAGTATAATTCTTTTTCCATAACTCCTACTGTAATGCAGTTACCTTCCTAAAAGCTAAAAGGTGCTCAACTCATAATTTCATCCTGATAACTGATATGCTGGTTTTTAGATTGTGGATGTCTTGGACCATGGGTACAGGGAAGAGTCGGGCTTAATTATGCATGAGGTATCACCGTCCAGAGAACATCCTTGGAAATCGACAAGCACGCTGGCAAATTATCACAAGAACACCACGTTCCCTAAAACATGACCAGCAAGCTTGCCAAACAGTGCAAGAACCCCAAAGGACACAAACCCAGACACAAGTAGCGGCCAATATACAACAACACGCATACACTAATATCTTTGTTGCCACCACTCACAATTTACAGGCTTGTAAGGAAGTTTGCCCCAGACACCTCCAGTCAGTAGACTCTGCGTTCATGTAGACGGGCACACAAGATTTTGACAAACAACACACACTGCTCTCACTAGCAGTTACAGATTAGGTAAACCAGGCAATGTCATGTATAGAGTTACTCAAGCAACTTAAGAAAACGTAAGATCACTGTAAATGACATCCCGCTGTTTCATATGTGATCTAACAATGACAGTGTAACATGGCGGAGTATTTGGTATACTTCTTGGTTTGCAAGCAGTTTATAAAATGTCCATCCTCCAGATATACTTGCTGTTATTGTAGTGGTGTATCCTCCTGTACATCCTCCATGGATATATTCAAAGAGTCTACTTACAATTTGCAGCTCAACAGAAAAGGAAAGCATGATGTTGTTCACCAATCCACAGGCAGTGAATGAAAGGGACTGACATAGCGTGGTTCCTAATGGGGTCCCAATGGTGGGTGGGTAGTAAGATCTGGTTTCGGCACTCTCTCCTGGTTTCCTCAGAGATCCATCCCTGCCAAGGTATTGCTTATTAATGCAGCATCCCCACCATCAGCCACCATATTAAAGATCAAAAAGAACTATCCTGTAAACAATGTACATGTCACCTGAAGAATAGTGACCCAACATATTGAGATTACATGGGGACCACACATGGTTTTATTTAACTGTTGCACTTTATTTATCACAATACAAGGGTCACACACCTATGATGCAACCAATATATATATAAAAAAAATATATTCTATTATTCACAATCTCAGGAGTCTTCTTGCTGTGCATTTCATTACAGTGCAACTTGGGTTGCGACTTAATGACTAAGGACAAATGTGGGTTCCACGGGTTGGGAACCACCCGCGAGTCTAACAACTGATATTTCCAAAACATCTTACACTTTTCCTTGTTGAGACATTTTTGTATTGCCCTCAATCATGTATTTACAATACTCACAACTGACACATTTTCTATCTCCCAGGGATCTGTGTTCCAGGGAGCTACGTGCTAAAATATCTTCTGTGGATCTAGCTTTCCTGTAAGTGATCTTAGGATTTGCTATAAACTCTCTCACTGTTACATCATTCATTAAAAGATATCAATATTTGTCACAAATGTCCCGTATCTGATTAGATATACTTGTATATCTCACATTTTACCAACTATGTTTGTTACTTCTCCTTTCTTTATTGCCATACAGAAGGTCATCTTGTGTCATATCCTTTGCTCTATGGTATGCTCTACCAAGACATTGATAGTTGTATCCTCATTTCAAAAATCTACTTTTCAATACATCTGAATCACTTTCAAAGTAATGATTGCGAGTGCAGTTCCTCAGAGCTCCGGGGTATTGTCTGACAGGAAAGTCTTGGAGTGGAAACTTTTCACATGTAATAAAGTGTTAGTAGCAGTCGGCTTCTTATGAAGCTTTGTAATGATTGAGCCATCTGCTCCTAATCCTATTGAGAGATCACAAAAAACTGACCAAGTATGAGCTGCACTCAGAAGTGAATGTAAGATAGAAATGGTTTTGTCTCATTGTGTGATTGAACTCCTCTAGTTCACCTTTGGTCTCTGCCCATTGGATGAATATATCATGGATGTACCTGTAACAACACAACATTTTGGGCAGGCACATCAACAGAGAATCATTCTCCAAAAGCTGATTTTGTCATTCACCATAGAACAAATTTGCATACGCCGGTGCACATTCCGTGCCCATGGCTGTGCCTTCTGCTTAGCAATAACACGTATCATCAAACACAAATTTATTGTATTCCCCTTAATCTGGTATTAAGAAAATTTTCCCATAGCCTCCATCCCTTTGGAATGAAGAATGGAGGAATATAATGCTTCCACCTCCTATGTGGCCAGTATGGTTCCTTGAGGATTTGCAATGTTGTCCTTCGGTTAAGTGTTACTGCCGCTGGAGGCTCCATTACATTTCTTCGCTTCCTGTTTGCCAAAAAGGTTGTCCCCAGGACAGGAAGTGAGGGGGGAATTTCTCTGTTAGCAACACAGACAGAGTGTTTTTTTTTAAAGTTAAAGTGGACCTTCCACTTCAGTGCCATGGTCTGCTTATTGATGGTTCCCCCTCCCCTCTTTAAAACAAAGCTCGATTTCTTAAGGGCACGTAATATACAGGGGTACGGGTACTCCTAGAATGAGATCCTAATAGGTTGGACTTGATGGACTAATGTCTTTATTCAACCTCAAATACTATGTAACTATGTAACTATATAAATTAGGGATGTCCCGATACCGGTACTAGCATCGGTATCGGGACCGATACAGGGCATTTTGACTTGGCTGGTCTGGTGGGAGAAGCTCCAAGTGGGGTCCTAATTTAGCTGGCCGGCGACAGGGCAGTCGCCGGCCTGCATATACCATCCATTATCAATGCTCCGATACCTTCCCCAATGCCGGAACTTCCGGTCAGAGGAAGGAATCCTCTGACTGGCAGTGCCATAAGAGAACATGCAGCCAGCTTCCTGTTTGATCGGGAAGCTAGGTGGAGAGTAATGACCCACCTCCCGGCTTCCTGATTGGCCAGTAGGCCAGCTTCCCGGCCAATCAGCGTCGGGCCGGCCGAACAACCTCATTACTCGCCGCCTGGCTTCCTGATTGGCCGGGAAGCTGGCTCCATGCAGGTTTCCCAGCCAAGCACAATCAGAAGCCGGCCAGGCAACATGGAACCAGCTTCTTGGGCAATCAGATTGCCCGGGAAGCCGGCTCCATGGAAGCAGAAGCACCGGTATCGATACTCAGTAACGACGAGTACCGAAAGCAAAGTATCGGTACTAATACTCAATAACGAAAAACCGCTATTGGTTCATCCCTACTGTAGATCGAGTGCAGAAGTTTTAGGGTAATAACTGTCTCCTCCTATACTGCAGCGATGATGCAGTATGTCCTCACATTAGCATGAGGACATATACACTGCGTATAGAACATGGTGATTTATAGGACCTTAGACTGCTGCAGAGGGGGAGTAAGTTTCCGGGACTGGTCTCAGAGCAAGCCAGCTCCATCAGGTGAACACAACTTTTTTTATTTTCCTCCCTAGACACAAACAAGAAGTTAACCTTTGCAGTGTGTGGGTAGCCCCACTGCAAGTGTTAATAATAATTTTCCTTGGAGTTCTTTAGAGTCATCTACATTGAAATTTGAAGAATTGGTGTTCTTCCCATGACACACTCGAAGTAGCATAAAATAGGAGGCAATGGCTCCCTGATTATTTTTTTTTCTACCATTGATCCATGTCCCCCAGGGTAGTACCCAGATCCCAATTCACTTTTTTGACAACCCCATGCCTATTAGCCTTGAAGAGAACTGATTTTCATGATTCACCTCTCTTTGACTTCAATGAGGTTCTCACTGTCAAACTTTTTGGCCCTTTTGTCAAACAAAGCCCCAAAATGATCCCAGTGAATGCACCCATCACTATTAGAGAATCAGCTTAATAAATTTCATTATCATTGTAATGAAAGCAAAACAAAATTGTGCAATAAAATGAATGAGATACAATGTACAATGTACTTAACAAGGTCTTCCTGGACTTTTGTTCAATTGATGCAGATCATCATGGGCTAGTTACCCCCCTGGTTAGGATCAGTTGTGTTAATGGAATTTATGATACTCTGGTTTGTCTTTGAAAAATTGAGAGTCCCACTGTGTTCAGTATAAATCCCAATTCTCAATATGGGATTTATCAAACCTCAATATCGTCATAGTCCTCATCCTCTTAGGGGTAAGGGGTGCTACAAATGGACATATAATGCCATTATGGGGCAGACAGATTTAGTTGAAGGAGAGCTGCACACTTAGGTCTGGTCACTGGCCTTTACTATGCAATAGAAATGGAGAAAAAAACCCCCCCATACATTATTCACAAAGGAGCTGAAGGATATAGTGGTAGGTTCGGCTAATCCTTTGGCTCGCTTCGGCGATGGGAACCCCGTGGTTCAGTTGTATTGAAGGGCTGCTGTACGGGCTATTCACAATAGCCCTTACAGCAGCCAAAGACAGCCAAAGCACTCAGTCGACCTGAAGCATATGTCGAAGACACAGCTGAAGCGGGGAGAGCAGACTGTTCTCCCCGCAAATGTAAACAAACAGTAAGAAGAAAGAAATGGCATGGGGTCCCCATCCCGATTCAAACCAGACCCTTTAGGTCTGTTAGGAATGATAGGAGGGACCACTGAGTAAAAAATGTG